TTGACAAACAACATAATGTGTAATTCATGGCACAATTCAAACGGGATCGAAAGATAAGTTTTCTCTCTTCATTGACTTCAATACATTATTTTTCCGAAATAAGGTCCCATGGACCGGAAGTAGATGGGCGTGACTTCGCCACTCTATAGCAGTGCTGCTCTTGCTCCATCAGCGTTACCTAATGGCACCCTTAAAGTGGTAACCTCTGTATAATTGTCACACCAGTAATGTCCCCTAATGTATGTTTCCCCATAGATGTTCAGTTTAAGTTAACATGTAAATAAAGGATTGTATAATCTGAAGTTTCTCTCGTATTACATGGATGATGTTAGCCTAGTTACTGTAGCCATTCTGACTAATCAATAACAAGATTTAGAGCCATAAAACGGAGTAATACTTGTATTATTTATTGTTTAATGGAAGAATATGATCACAGGTTATATAAAACTCCATGTTGCGGAACATAAACCGGGACTACTTTAGCCAAAATAATTGTTCACAAGAAATGCTTTGAATCAGTAGGTACTTGTTGCTATCATTTCTAGCAGCATATCTATAGATGGGGTATTTTTCACTATGACGGATCTTCTGTTAGTGTCGTTGTGTATTTATTAATTACACCTGACAACTGTAATAAAAAACAAAACACACCGTATGCCACTAAAGCAGAAGTGCTAGGCAGCTGTTACGGGTTGTTAGAATGCGACACACGTTGTGTTGCACACATTTGTATATTTGTATTTTGTATACCTCACATGCTTTGCTTGAGCCTTTGTTTTCAACATTTGTAAGTTATAACTCCATTGACAAATAATCATATCCTTAATATCCGTACAAACAAATGAATAATGACAATAAGAAACTGTTAGCAGTGCCCTCTCACAGGGGCTACCAGTGGCTGATGAAAGAAGACCCCTACCTGGTTTGCATGTCTTCCCATCTGGTTTAAGCTGGACTCCAGTGGGGCAGGCACAGCTGTAGAAAGGCTGCACTGGAGAGAGCAGGCAGAGATGACTACAGCCTCCATTACTGTCACTGCAGGGGGTCAGGACTGCAGTCACACATCAGAGACAGAGAGGGAGAAGTGAAGAAGAACATAGGATTAGCCCATGTAGTCAATGTCTCATTATGTATCAATCACCACAGAACAATGATACCACTTTCATATAAAGGCTTGATGGTATATTGATCTTATTTCACAATTCACTCACTGTTAGGCTGCCGGTAGGCCTCCAGGACCTGGATGTCCATCGGAGAGTAGATCCCACTGAGGATCTCTCTGGTTTTATCTCCACTGTTTTTGTTGCAGGCGTGGATGGAGCGGGTCTGCCAGTCGGTCCAGTATAAGGTCTCCTCAGACAGTGTCAGGGCAAAAGGGTGGGTCAGGGTGCCCTCCACCACAGTCTCACTGCAGGAACAAAAAGAACCAGAGGATTTGTTCCATTAATAGTACTTTTACACACTCAACACGTGCCATCAATTTGAATTGGACAGTAATTGTATTATTACTTGATTGATCATGAATTGCTTTCAGTCGACAGAGGGCCTAACCCTATTCCTCAAACCCACAGATGCACATGCTCGCCCACCAATGTGTTTCGGAAGACCAGATGCAGTAACCAGCTTAAGCTTAATAACACAAACAGCCTTTGGCACTAAGGTTAGCTGTACGACAACGCAATATTATCATGATTAAACCAATACCCAAATGGTGCAGCCTAAACACAAGATTAGCTTCAGCACCCAACCCACCTCGGGCTGGGTATAAAACAACTATAAAGTTGTGAGACAAAAATGATGCTCTTGTCAATACCCTAATTATACCATAAATGAACTTAACAAAAAGTTATCAAAACACAAGCAGCCGTCACCCAAGACCTTTGCGTGAAATGATGACAGAAGAATATCGGCAAAATTGTATGAAACCATTGTATGATTATTAGATGTATTCTGTAGAAGTGAAACTACACTCTAAAAACGAACTCAGGCGACCTTTCACCTCCACTTATTTAAATGCATGGTTGCAAGATAAAAATGTGAGTTCATTGATTTGGATAAACATTTTAAGATGCAAATATTAATTTATAAGTTGTGTTGACATAATAATGTTGGTAAATACATCAACTTAATATTGTGTGTAATTTGAACTCTGATTTCTGCGTTAATTGACTTAAAACAAAATTCAAGTTGTAGTAACTAATGCAATTGGCTTGATAACTTAATTGTTCTACACCTTGAGTTAAGGATTTCAAGTCCACTCCCACTTAACATGCCTGGACAAGTTCCGACAGTTAAGACAAATAAAAATATACAAAGGACATTTTAAGGTGAGTGTCATCTTTTGTCATTCAAATACAGTAGATAGCCTTGTGGTTGCACTGTATAGGCAAATTGCTGTTTGAATGACAAAAGATGACACTCACCTTAAAATGTCCTTTGTATATTTTTATNCAGACATATTTTAAAACAAACCGCATTAAGATATTAGGTTAAACTCACCCAGATCTTGTAAGATAGTAATCACTTGTCACATTATTATCAAGGATTTCCTGACAAAATGAAGCAGTTGTATTCCTAACATTGGGGAGGTGTCTGTGCTCTGAACACCGAAACAGGGGGAAAAGGATTTTGTGTTGATGGTTGGTTTGTGGTCTGCTTGTCGCCTCCGGGAGACCCGAGGTAAAAGGACTAGGGAGCACTGCAGACCATTGGAGCTATTAAAAGCTGTCGTACCAACCAGTGTTCTGATGAAATTAATACTGAATGAGTGACAGCATGAGTTCAAACACCAGTTCAAGCTGAAGAGCTTGTCCATTATAAATGGAAAGGAAGGAGACAGGAATGCAAGAGAGGAGAAGAAGAGAGGAGAGTAAAAGAGATGGAGGGGGTTCATTATAGCTTGGATTAAGATTTAAAATAACAGCAACAAGCAGGGATGGATAACTGAAAGGCCTATCAGGCACAGGCATATGGGCCCATACTGTCAGCCAGCCTTGACTTCAACCACGAAATGTGACAATAAAAAAATAGATATTTTAAACCGAAAGAGAGAGATGATCATAGAGACGGAAAAAGAAACTACAAGATGCACAAAGAGAATATAATAGAAATTCAAATCAACAACAGAGATGAAAAATGACTGCAAGAGATGCAAAATCTCTCCACAGAAAAGCAGAACTAACAGATTTTTAACAAAAAACACATAATAACTACAAAGTGACCAAAAGAACTGCAAAAACAAACAAACAGACTCACAACTATGAAAAAGGGCGAAACAAATACAAAGAGACACCAAATGAGTACAGAGATTTGAAACAACAGGGAGGAAAAATGACTGCAAGAGATGCAACATGACGACAAGGAAAAGCAAAACTACCACACATACAAAATTACTACAAAGAGTTGCCACAATGAGAAAGGGCAAAACAAATAGAAAGAGACACAAAACAAATACAAAGAGGAAAACATTGACTACAAAAAGACACAATCACAAAGAGACGCACAATGAGGCTCACAATGACAACAAAGAGAAGTAAAATGATTACAAAGAAATGGAATATGAAAACAACTGCATGCAAAATTACTACAAAGAGATGCAAAAAGATAATTTTTTTAAAACACCTTTTTTCTATATAACCAAAATAGAAAAAAGACAAAAACAACTACAAAGTGAAACAAAACAAAGAAAAAGACAAAATTACCACAAAGAGACTAGAGATGGAAGAATTCGGCAAAACAGAAACATAATCACTAACTATTTTGTATATCAATGTATCTGTTTTTAAATGTAATATCTTTGTGTTTTGCACCACAAAACAAAGCATCAAAAACCTCCCTTTGTACTCTGAGAAACTAAGATTTAATGACATTTTAAAGACCAAACTATTATTTTAGAACATGATAAATAAATATCACGAAAATAATCTTTAGTCCTAGCCATTAAACCGATGCGTAGCAACTATGGTAAAATCCGTGTCCATTTGAATAAAGGTCAAATGTGTTACAGGTAGTTATTTCTATCTTGAGGCCTGAGGCCTGTACTACGAATCCGGATTTTCGCTTAGCGTTGCCGGAAAGACGGCCGGTAAAAATCTACTGACCGTGTGAACGTGAACATTAATAGAATATGACCTCCCATCTTCAGAGCAATCAGACTATTATAACATTAGCGTTAAGAAAGCTTACTTAAATACCTGCCACAAGTAAACATAAGTAACAGGATCAAAGTAACATTACGTCCACGGCACTGTGAGTGCAGACGTCGATGTGTCCCATTATCATTCATATCACATCATAATATATCATATATCTCCTTATCTGAGTCAGCTGAGCCGTATCTGGCCGTGCAAAACTCATAGTGTCACATACTGTATGCAGAAGTATTATTTTAAGCAACACATTAAGTTGACGAAACACTTGAGACAAATCTAATTAAAGTCAGATCCACTCGTGTCTTAGACGGGGCAGTGATATCATTAACCTGTTAATGTACGCATTCAAACACTTTTTCTTTTACCAGCTGTATTCACCTTGCAGGTGCAGCTATGTGGCTTTTATCCTGGATAAAGTGTTTAAGTCATGGATGTTTAAAGTTAAACTTCTTCATATTTGTCTAATATTATAGTTGACTTTTCATTCAGGAAGTATGACGCTGCGCTGTCAGTACGCTTGTCCATGTTTGTGATTGGTCAAATGTTGCTAACCCCGCCCCTTTCATGTGAACGCGCACTCAGCCGGACAGAGAAACCTTGGCTTGAGTTACCGAGTTGATAACCAGCGTCATAGGACCGCTTAGCGAGATCGCATTTGTTTTGGGTTAGTTAAGCCAGATAACTCAAACATATCCAGGGTATGTTGAACTGGATTCGTAGTACAGGCCTCGGGACATGTCGGTGACTTTGAGCTTTCAGTTTTTTTTGTCTGAAGAACGTTTCAGGATATCTTTTGCCTGATAGTCTTGATGCATGACACCCACAACAAAGACCACTTTCAAGCCCTGTTTTCCAAAGACAAATCTAAACACTGCCCACGACTTCCTGCTGTGTGTTTAAGCCATGCGTGTGAGTGTCTTACCATTTCTTTGATTTTAGTTTGGGTGGAGGGTTTCGTGGTATCAGAAACAGCGCTCTCATTGGATGCATGTCACACAGAGCTACAAAAAGAGACAGGGACAGTTAATCCTGAGTGGAAATGTAATTACAGAAAAACAAACTGTACAACCATATCAATTCACAATGTGTATGTATCTTAAACTCACGAGGGGCTCCTTCAGCCATCTCCAGAGCAGTGATGCCTAAAGACCAGAGGTCACTCTGAGAACAAGAGAAAGGAAAAGGTTAGAACTGGGGCACAGACAAAGCTAATCTCGAGCCCGGTTCATTTCCTGTAAACTTTGGATTTCCTCTACATATTCCAACAGTAAATCAGTTTGTGCACAGCGTGAGAGCACAGATCCAGGAATGACAGGAACAAGTTCCAAGACTTCCAGCCAAACTTCTGGTATTTCACTAGAGACAGAAATAAATAGTGGATCATTTCAATGATGTCCTGTATATCAACAGTCAGCCTAATCACTTGAGCATCACAAATGCTTTTTGCTTCGCATAACACTCTTTTTAAATAAACTTTTATTATACTATACTATATTACAACAATTTTGCTTGATAAAACAATGGCTTAAGTTAACATCTCATCTTTGGAAGTTCAGATAGCTATCAGCGATCATAAAAGATTCAAAATAGCATTCAACAAGCATTTAAGAATTAAAATTGAATCATGGTTTTCTCCTAAACACCCCTTAGTCTTGGATGTTGGCCAGCCTTAGCAGTAGATAGGCTGTCATGGGGGGGTTGTCAGGACATCATCACCTGGGTCTTTTAAGCTCAAAAGAGCCAAATTATCTTTCAATAAAATGTAGTATTTAATCTGTTTTGAGGAATATGCGTTGAGCTCTTAGCAAGACCAAAAGCTGAAAGACCTACACTCTATATTGTACCTCGATGCATGTCAACATTACAATGTAAGGCATCTGTGCTGCGTGTCTACTCATGTAGTGTTACCTTTAGATGGGGACTAGGACAAATTCACAGATATAAATGCAAAGGTGCTCTGAGCAATAAAATACAATAAAAACAATTTGCTCATGAATTCAATCAACTCGGGAAATGGGACCAATCTAGGAGCAAATGAAGGCAACATTGGCCCTGGTACAGGTCTGCACTCGCTAAGTGACATTCTAATGGAAAAAGATTTTCCCAATGTCTGCTGTCTCTTCGGATTATGTTTTGCTGGATGTGGTCGATTAATTCCTGCATTGAAAAATATATTTATTTCTTAGTTGTTACCTTAAGACAACAGCTAAATGGTCTGCATTTTGACTATTACAAAAGGAAAATATGTTTTTATGATATTTTTGAAAATTCTCCATTTTCCTGTTGGATGCGTCACTCCCGTCTTCATTAACAGATGATGAAAATGTTCTTAATGTTGGCTGGGAAACACTAATTTCAGTGATTAATGAAGTACCCTGTAGTCATAGGCAGCGTCAGGGTTCTCGTCGCAGGCGATGACCTCCGGAGCCATCCAGTAGGGAGTTCCGATGAAGGTGTTCCTCCGCCCGATCGTCTTATCCAGCTGGGCCGACACCCCAAAATCAACTGAGACGAAAAGAATGTGGGACAATTTCACGACTCAAAACAACCACAATCTTTGCTTCTTCATGGGGTGTTACTGCGGTTGTGTGATTGATGCATGTATGAATGAATGGCTATGTGATTGTTCGACAGTTTTTTGCCCGGAGGCTTGCGGACTCGCTTGAGAAACCGCAATGCTTGTGTTGATGTGTCATACCCAGCTTGACTTCGGCATTCTCCGTGAGCAAAACATTTTGTCCCTTAATGTCTCTGTGAATCACATGATGGGAGTGAAGATGGGAAAGACCCTGGAAGACAAATATACACACACAGAATCACATACACACACACACTGTCAGATGACCTCCATCGCTACAAATATGAAGTCGCAAACACAGCTTTAGAATAGTAGAGGCATTATGTGTTTGTTTGGAGGAATACTGCACAAAGAGTATAATTTAGTTTCATATGTCTGATTTCCCTTCAAGGAGAAATAACTTTAGGTGGCCGAGGCAGCCAATCGGAGGCAAAGTGTGTGTGCTCTCGCTTCTTCAAAAGGAGGTTAAACAAACAAAGGAAGTGAGTCTTATTTGGGACAATGACTTCAACATGCTGTGCAGTGTGTGTGTGTGTGTGTGTGTGTGTGTGTGTGTGTGTGTGTGTGTGTGTGTGTGTGTGTGTGTGTTAAAACAATAAAGGGGCAGCATGTCTGACAGCAGCAGGTAAAACAGTGGCAAAAAATG